AGAGAGAGAGAGGGAGAGAGAGAGAGAGAGAGAGAGGGAGAGAGAGAGAGGCGGAGAGAGAGAGAGACGGGGAGAGAGAGAGAGAGAGGGAGGGAGAGAGAGAGAGGGGGGACGGGAGAGAGAGAGAGACGGGAGAGGAGAGAGAGAGAGATGGGACGGGAGAGAGAGAGAGGGGGGGGACGGGAGAGAGAGAGAGAGAGAGAGGGACGAGAGGAGAAAGAGAGAGAGACGAGAGAGAGAAAGATCATATAAGAACCTTCATGGATGCATGTTGTCCTTAGTCAAATGAAGCTCCATCTGTTGTGCACTGTGCAGTGACAGAGGAAACAGAAAAGTTATATGTATATATATATATATATATATATATATATATATATATATATATATATATATATATATATATATATATTTTTTTTTTTTTTTTTTTTTTTTTTTTTATGTATTTTACAACTACTATTGCTACTATTACTACGACTAAGGATACGACTGCGGTGCGGAAAGGGTACTCGGCCTGGACTCCTTCTACAGGGATGCGCGTGGCCTCCGCCCTTCACTAGCCGCCCCTCGCTCGCCCTCCAGCTTTCGCTTCTCCGCCTCAAGACACTCCGTCAGCGCTGCAATGCCCTGGCGCGCTTCGGGCGACTTGCTCTGGCTCTTGAAGAACCATTTCCTCACGGCCGAGGGCATCTTGGGGCCCTCGAACAGCTGGCAAATGATATGGCCCAAGCTGAACACGTCAGACTGGCTGCTGCAGTGGTCCAGCGTCTCGTTCTTGCAGATCTCGGGGGCGTAGTGCAGGCCCTCCTCCCAAGTGCACGGCAACGCCATGGTCGTCCCGCTCACCATGGCCATGTCGCTCTATGACGGGGACCACGGGCTCGGCGGCCGTCACATCCACGCGGATGTTCTCCTTGATGTCGTTTGCGTGAAACCCGCCGCGTGGACGCCGTCGAAGGCCCTGGCGATCTGCAGCCCGATGGACACCTTTTGCCCGAGCGACAGGCCACTCAGGCGGTCGAAGGAGGGGCCGCCGAAGTGGGTGACGAGGGCAAGCTCGTCCGGACACACGCCGACGAGGCGCTGGATGCCTGCAGTCACGTCCAGCAATTGAAGGAACTTGGCCTCGGGTTTCATTCCGAAAGGCGTCCATGCTGTGTGAGATCTTGATGACAAGACCCTTGTGAGGGGTGAGCAAGGCCTCGCCGGACGCGCCCTCGCCCAGCACCTTCGGGTTGCCCCCTTCGACGGCCATCAGCTCCTTCCGGGAAAGAACAGGCAAGGCGCAGTCTTCGCACACCTTCCTCAGGAGCGCCACTTCCGCCTGGGTGGGCCGCCGGTTCACCCTGCTCATCTGGGCCTTGACTGCGGCCTGGCAGTCCAGCAACTGCTGTGTCTTTGAGTCCTATTGCGAGGGCGTCTGGACGACCGCGCAATAAATAAAGATCCGATCGGTTCTTTATTGCTGTGGTTCGCCTTTCAGTCGCGAGGGCGTCTGGGGGATCCGCTCCTCGCTCGCGCGGGCCACCGCCTTCGGCTCTCCCAGCGGAGGGGGCGCGGCTCTGCAGGCTCCCCGATTCGCCAGGCGCTTCGGCTCAGGAACTTCACGTGGACTTCCTCGCACGCTGCTGCCCCGGCCCTCCGCCTGCTTCTCCGCGATGGCGAGGCGCTGCAGTCCGAGGATCGCCATCGTGAGACCTTTTGGGCGCCTCGTTGGCTGGGACGGAGGG